TTTCCTTTTTTTTTTAATCAAGGCGATTTAGGACTCTTTCTCTGTCTAGTTTTGCACTTTCGAAGATGGAATCAAGATAGTGGATTTAAAAGCAAAAAATTTGGACTATTTGAGAAAAAACCCTAAATCAACTTTGATCGAGGAAAGTAATGTTGAAGCCATCAATTAGTAAAATAAAAATGGGAGAAATTCAAAAATAGCCAGATTTACAATTGATCGTTCAAAAATAGCCCAGTTTCAAAAGTAATCGAAATTTAGTCATTTTTCATGTAAAGATAAATCTGAGCGAAAACACTGTTCAAAACCCGAAAAATACGCCAGTATATTATACTGGAGTTCCAGCATAACTATGCTTGAACTCCAACATATTATACTGGAGTTCCAGGATAAGTATGCTGGAACTCCAGCATAATATGATGGAGTTCCAGCATGAGTACACTAGAACTACAACATAATATACTGGAGTTCCAGCAAGTATAATTGTCCAGTATAATATACTGGAGTCAGCAAAGTATACCGGTCCAGCATAATATGCTGGAGTTCATACACAAGTGCACCAAACTCCAGTATATTATGCTGGACCGGCATCTGTTGCGGCAAAATAGTGGCTATTTTTTATTGACTTCGTAAACGCTGACTATTTTTGAATAACCAGTCCGAAAACTGGCTATATCGTGCTATTTTTACAATAAAAATGGGTCCTCTCTTACATACTTGATCCATATAAATATCGAGTTATTGAAGTGGGTTAATAAAATGTTTATAATTGGTGGCTTTTATTTTTTAAACCTTTGGCTTTAAAAAAAAAAACTACTACATCAACTAAAGTCACTAAAAATTATCACTTGAATATGTAGGTGATATTGTAGCTAAAATAACAAAGATAGAGTAATTACAAAACAAATTGTGACTTTTTTGCACTAATTTTCCTTAATTGAGTGACTTTTTTACAAAATAAAGTACTAATTTTCATGCACAATTTTCATTAGTTGAGTAACCTATGAGAAATCACTCTAGGTACATACGTAACAAGTTATCTTTTTTGTTTTTTCCCGAACAAGAAAAAAGAAGGGAACAATGGTTTCCACTTTGAAAGAAGAAATAACTAAGAGCTCGTTTGGTACGATGGATAAGGGATAATTAATCCCGAAATTAAACTTGAGATCAGTTTATTTTATATTTGGTTAGTGAAAAATTACAGTATAACTAATTCCGGGATAATTGGGAGGCTGGAATAACTAATCCCGGAATAATTAATTCCGGAATAATTTCCTTCCAACCAAACGACCCCTAAGGGACCAACAATATTATTTTATTGTTTTTTCCTTAGAGATAACAGTATGGGAGGGGCAGTAATGTATATATTCAATGTTCATTTTCATCTTTAAAAATCTGCCTAATTTGTTTTTAGTCTTGATCCAAAATATCACATTCCTTTAGGAAATACCATTTTCTTTTAAGTGGCGTAAAAGCATTGAACTTCCCATCACATTGGTTCTGCCATTTTTCATTTTCCCTCTTAACTCAAAATAATGTCTCTCAAATTTCTCAAACCTCTGTTTGATTCTTTCCCATGGCATTTACAGGAACAAAATATTGAGCAAAATGGTGTCTTTTTCTCCTATTTTCTTGGAATTATAGCTTTACTATGGTTTGTTTGGATTGTCATCAATAAGTCAAAGAAGGAACAACCCCCATTACCACCAGGGCCTAAAGCTTTGCCTTTAGTAGGTAATCTCCATTCTCTTGATCCTGAACTCCACACATATTTTGCTTCTCTTTCCCAAATTTATGGCCCCATTTGTAGACTATGGCTTGGTAAAAAAGTTGGGATTATTATTACTTCTCCTGCTTTAGCTCGGGAGATTCTTAAGGATCAAGATACAATTTTTGCTAATAGAGATGTGCCTGCTGCTGGTAGAGAAGCTACATATGGTGGTAAAGACATAGTTTGGACTCCTTATGGACCAAAATGGCGTATGTTGAGAAAAGTTTGTGTTCGTGATATGCTTAGTGGTTCTATTTTAGATTCTGTTTATGAACTAAGAAGAAAAGAGCTTAGAAAGACAATTAATTACCTCTATAATCAGAAGTGTGTAGCAGTGAATATTGGTGAACAGATGTTTTTGACTGTGCTTAATGTGATTACAAGTATGTTATGGGGTGGTACAGTAAAGGGAGAGGAAAGATCTAGTCTTGGTGCAGAGTTTAGGCTTGTTGTGACTGAGATGACTGAGTTGTTAGGTACTCCGAATGTGTCCGATTTTTATCCGGGCTTGGCTAGGTTTGATTTGCAAGGTGTAACAAAGAAGATGAAGGTGTTGGCAAAGAGATTTGATAGGATATTTGAGACTATGATTGATCAAAGGCAGAAAATGGATAGAAATGGCGGGATCGGAAGTGGTGCTGGCCAAGAAAGCAAGGATTTTTTGCAAGTTTTGCTCAAGTTGAAAGATGAAGCAGATGCCAAAATGCCTCTTACCATGACTGAACTCAAAGCCTTACTCATGGTATGTTTTTGTCATTTGTGCATATTCTACTAGAGTATATAGGAAAAGTATGTCAGTTTCATTAGACCTGATTAGAGAAAACAGAAAAAAGTCTATTACTTTCACTAGATGTGATGTTGGTTGTTTCCTTCTAAATGTGATTTTACAAATGAACCAAAAAGAAATCTTGTACTGCATTATATTGAGTAGCCAAGATTGCATTTGTCTTCAACCGTTCTTACCTTATCTCTATGGATGAATAATTGGTACTGATTAAGAAAGATACTCTTTCAGTTATAATAATAAAAGGATCAAAATCAAATGAAAGAGAAAGTGGGATTGTAAATTTATAGAAGAATTATTGTGGCATATGAGAAACAAACTTAAGAAGAATCAAATTCACAAATTCATGTCCTGAACTGTTGGTTGCATACTTACATTTTTCTACTATAGGAATATTCACTTTCAATAGATGGGGTGCTGGTTTCCAAGTTTGCATTTGCTTTTAAACTGTCTATCCTTACCTATTATGGTTGAGAAATTGGATTGTACTGATGTTAGTCATAATAAGTGGATCAAATGCTAATAAAAGTGAAAGATGGTTTGTAAATTTATTGAAGAATTATTGTGGCATATAAGAAACAAATACAAGAAGAATCATTTATTCATGTCCAGAACTATTGGTTGCTACCTAGTTATTAGAGTACAGTAAGAAAAGAGTCGGAAATATTAGTATCAGACAACATATAAAGACTTAACTGTGTATTAAGACAGTGAACCTTGAACTGAATTCCAACATGTAGTTCTACGGAATGTTCCTTTTGTTGTACATGATAATAACTTTACAAATACCATGAACAGGATATGGTTGTTGGTGGAACTGAGACAACCTCCAACACGGTTGAGTTTGCCATGGCTGAAATTATGAACAAACCAGAGGTACTGAGGAAATTACAACAGGAACTAGAGACAGTTGTGGGCAAAGATAACATAGTGGAAGAGTCCCATATTCAGCATTTACCATATCTCTATGCAGTTATGAAAGAAGCCTTGCGCATGCATCCAGCTCTCCCACTGTTGGTGCCTCATTGTCCTAGTGAGACAGTCACTGTCGGAGGATATACTGTTCCTAAAGGAGCTCGTGTTTTCATAAATGTTTGGGCAATACAGAGAGATCCCTTCCTCTGGGAAAATCCAACTGAGTTCCTTCCGGAGAGATTTTTGGACAATAATTGGGACTATAGTGGAAATGATTTCAACTATTTTCCATTTGGTTCTGGCAGGAGAATTTGTGCGGGGATAGCCATGGCGGAGAGAATGTTCATGTATTCACTGGCCTCACTCATTCATTCTTTCGACTGGAAGTTGCCTGAAGGAGAGAAATTAGACCTTGAAGAGAAGTTTGGGATTGTTTTTAAGAAGAAAATACCTCTGGTTGCTATACCTACTCCAAGATTGTCCAATCCAACACTCTATGAGTAAGATAAAAGATGCATCTCTACGTTGGCAATGGTCTTATGAACAACTCAAAGTTCTAATGTTCCATGTGAAACTAGTTCCATGACTCCTTTAGTATTATATACTAAATTGAATTTGAGATATCAATATATGTATCATTTTATTTGGAGTACGTAAATGATTTCATACCGTTCCTTGTTTAGTTTGTGTTCATATAAAGAGTATATGGTTGGCATCTCCCTGATAGATATGTAAATATCCCTTGAACACATTGTGAGATATATTGAAAACAAATCTTTATCCAATTTAACATCAAACACATACTATATTATACAATGCATATGTAGATTTTAATGCGCTAAACCAAATGTCCAATCACAAATACAAATATTATAATAATTATGTTGCTTCATAATGAATCCTTATATTAAGTCGTGTACAAGTTATCTTATCTAACCATGATCATAAACTCTGATATTTATGCAAACTAAAAATGTTGTGCACTCTTTTAAGAGGTTGATTAATATGCTGAATTAGTATTTGAATTAAAATGGAAAAAACTTACTGCTGTTAGTAGCTCTAAAAATAAGGGCAGATTGGATTTTTCCAAGGAGATGTGAGATAAACTCCAGATTAGAGTGATCTGCCCCTCAATCAACTGAAAATAAGCATGGCATGCTTCTTTAGAGAAACTGCATATTCAATGCATAGATGACAATTTTTTTTCTTCTTTTTGCCCAAACAATTAAAAAAAAAAAAAGAAGAAGAAGGAAAGAAGTGGTCCCAATTTAGAAACAAGAAACAATTTGGGACCAATAGTACATTGTTGTTTTTTCCTTTGAAGTAACAGTATGAGTGTGGAGGTATCTATATTCATTTTCATCTTATGGGACTGTCAAACTTCTAATTTGTCTTGATCCAAAATATCTAAGTCTTCAGAATTCCATTTTCTTTAAGTGGAGTTAAAGCATTGAGCTTTCAATCACATTGGTTCTTCCATTTTTCTACACCACTGCTCTTTCTAATCTCATTTCCCTCTAAGGCTCAAATAATGTCTCTCAAGTTCTTCAAACCTCTATTTGATTCTTGGTCGTGGCATTTGGATGGAGCCAATATTGAGCAAAATGGTATCTTTTTATCCAATATTCTTGGATTTGTAGCTTTACTATGGTTTGTTTGGATTTTCATCGATAAGTCAAAGAAGGGACAACCCCCATTGCCACCAGGGCCTAAAGCTTTGCCTTTAGTAGGTAATCTCCTCTCTCTTGATCCTGAACTCCACACCTATTTTGCATCTCTTTCCCAAGCGTATGGCCCTATTTGTAGACTCTGGCTTGGTAAAAAAGTTGGGATTATTATTACTTCTCCTGCTTTAGCTCGTGAGGTGCTTAAGGAACAAGATACTATTTTTGCTAACAGAGATGTGCCTGCTGCTGCTAGAGAATTTTCATATGGTGGTAAGGACATAGTTTGGACTCCTTATGGACCAAAATGGCGCATGTTGAGGAAGGTTTCTGTTCGTGAAATGCTTAATGGTTCTACTTTAGACTACGTTTATGCACTAAGGCGACGGGAGCTTAGACAGACGGTTAATTACTTATATAATCAGGCGGGTTCACCGGTGAGTATCGGTGAGCAGATGTTCTTGAATGTTCTTAATGTGATCACGAGCATGTTATGGGGTGACACAGTGAAGGGTGAGGAAAGAGCTAGTCTTGGTGCAGAGTTTAGGCTTGTTGTGACTAGTATAACTGAGCTGCTAGGTACTCCGGATGTTTCGGATTTTTATCCGGGCTTGGCCAGGTTTGATTTGCAAGGTGTAACAAAGAAGATGAAGGTGTTGGCAAAGCGGTTTGACAAGATATTTGAGACCATTATTGATCAAAGACGGAAAACGGATAGAGATGGTGGGATGAGAAGTGGTGTTGGCCAAGAAAGCAAGGATTTTTTGCAGGTTTTGCTGAAGTTGAAAGATGATGCCGATGCTAAAATACCTCTGACCATGTCTGAACTCAAAGCCTTGCTCATGGTATGCATAGTCATTTGTGCATTCCACTACATGAAAAGTCACTTTATCAGATCTGATGTTGGTTGTTTCCTTCTAAATGAGTTTCCAAATCATAGTCATTACTGCATCATTACCGAGTAGTCAATATTGCATTTGCCTTCAACAGTTCATACCTTATCTATGTGAATGAATAATTGGCTTACACTGATCATGATGGCAGACCTTTTTTTTATAATAAAAAGATCGAATCAAAGGAAAGAATGGGATTTTAAATTTATAGAAATTTTTTTTGGTGTATGGGAAATAAATTTAAGTCTTTTTTGAAACTGTTGTGATTATGATTTCCTTGAGCCGAGGGTCAATCGGAAACAACCTCTCTACCTTCACAAGGTAGGGGTAAGGTCTGCGTACACTATCCTCCCCAGACCCCGCTTATGGAATTACACTGGGTATGTTGTTGTTGTTGCTGTTTGAGAAATAAATTTAAGAAAATCAGATTCATAAACTCATGTCCTGAACTTTGGTTGCATTCTTCTACTATCGTAAACTTTACTTAAAATGGATGTGGTGCTGATTTCTAAGTTTGCATTTGCGTGTAAACAGTCGATCTTTATTTATTATGGATGAATAATTGGCTTAGTGCGATATTTTAGTCATAAAAGAGGATCAAATGCTAACAAAAATGGAAGATGCGATTGCAAATTTATCAAAGAACTGTTGTGGCATATAAGAAATAAATACAAGAATCAGACTCAAAAAATTCATGTCCTGAACTGGTGGTTGCTACCTAGTTATTGGAGTACACATCAGACAACATGTAAAGAGTTAACTGTGAATTCAGAGTAAACCTTGAACTGAACTCCAATATACAGCTACAAAATTCTTAAATTTTGTTGTACATGATAATAACTTTTACAAATACCATGAACAGGATATGGTTGTTGGTGGAACTGACACAACCTCCAACACGGTTGAGTTTGCCATGGCTGAAATTATGAACAATCAAAAGGTCCTGAGGAAACTACAACAGGAACTGGAGACAGTTGTGGGAAAAGATAACATAGTGGAAGAGTCTCATATTCAGCACTTACCATATCTCTATGCAGTTATGAAAGAAGTCTTGCGCATACATCCAGTACTCCCACTATTGGTGCCACATTGTCCTAGTGAGACAGTCACTGTGGGAGGATACACCGTTCCTAAAGGATCTCGTGTTTTCATAAATGTATGGGCTATACAGAGAGATCCCTCTATATGGGAAAATCCGACTGAGTTCTATCCGGAAAGATTTTTGGACAATAAATTGGATTATAGTGGAAACGATTTCAACTTTATTCCATTTAGTTCTGGAAGAAGAATGTGTGCGGGAATAGCCATGGCAGAGAGGATGTTCATGTATTCACTGGCTTCACTTATTCACTCTTTCGACTGGAAGTTGCCCGAAGGAGAGATAGTAGACCTTACGGAGAAGTTTGGTATTGTTTTGAAGAAGAAAATTCCTCTGGTGGCTATACCTACTCCAAGATTATCCAGTCCAACACTCTATGAGTAAGATAAAATATGTTGCTTTATCCTGGCAATAATCTTATGAACAACTCAAAGCGTAGACACGAAAAATCAGAATGTTCAACTGTTCCATCTGAAATGGCTAATGGCCGTGAGTCCTTAACTATTGTATACTGTACCAAGTTTGAAATAATAATACGTGTGTTACTTCATCAGAGCACTTAAAAATAACAAAGTGTGCCCTTCATATTAATACTTCTTTAGTTAGTTTTCCTATGAAGGGAGAGATGATTGGCATCTCCCTCATAGATATGTGAGCAGCCTTCTACCACTGCATGGATATTATAGAAAATAAATCTTTTTCCAATTTTAAATCAAACACATTTTACATTAAACAATGTATATATTGATTTTAATGCAATGAACCAAATAGCCAATAACAATTACAGAGTTATTGTTAAGTTTGGCAGAAATCTTTTGTCCCACATCGGTGGGAAAAGAATGGTTGGGGGGATTTTCCCCTATAAAAGAAGACTTAATGTTTAGGATTTAAACACACCTCTCATTTGCCTTCTCATCTGTTTAAGGCATTTGTATCTTCTCTCTTTAGTATTATTTCACTTGTATTTTTGGAGTGAAATAAAATATTGGTTGTGTCCGAGGAGTAGGCAAAATTAGCCGAACCTCGTAAATTCTGGTGTTCCCTTTATTGTT